AATACACGCTATTATCTCATGACCGTGACGCAGCTTCAAACATTCGTTTCAAACTGGAAGTACAAATTTGCTTGAAATAACGCAAAAACAACCAATTTACACTTTTTAGTGAAATATAGGTGTCCTAATAGTGTTTTTAGCAGTGTGGGACACATATACCACTGTCAACAGCTCAACACATGTGTTCTGGTGTTTCGTGACCCTTTAATGACGCAAAAACCCTCACACACACACACATTAATATCTGATCAGCATCTGTCAGAAACTGCACTGATGCAGCGTATGCGTGGAGTTTATTCACTAAATCAATAATGTGTTTATGCACATTTGTTCTTATCAGATAAAATCTTTATCCTACGTTCTCAAAATGTATGGACATCTTGGAGTTTCCTCTAGGCAAAATGTGCATAAAATTAGGCAGCTATAGCTTCGACTCCTAAGAATCCTTCAGAGGGCGATGTGTCGTGTCTGAAACGCACCATTTATCATCCTGAGCTTCCCAGAGGGCATTTCAACATCACCTGAAGACAGAGATGGGGACGTTTAACATGGTTCAGGGTGACCTTACAGTAATTCGCCTGTCTCAGACACACACACACACAGACACTCTCAGCTTTCAGGGTGTTAGTTGAGGTATGTTTAGCAGGTTAGTGTGCACATACAGGTGTAAACCAAGCTGCAACCTCCCGCTCTCCCTCAGGAAGCCAATACGGAAGTAACTAAAACTGCAATTCGTCCGAATTTCCGCTAGTCCTGGCCGCTCCTGACTCCAAAACAGAGCAAATTTCAATTGAGCCCACTGTTAGAATGGCCAACTCTACAGCAGAATAAAGGTGTTTACAGCCTGTACAAAAACAGATGTTGGTTAATACAGCTAATATTACCCTTCATGACAACTGTGAGGGGGTGAATTTTTTTTATAACTCATCCGTTTCCTTTATATTAAGTTATATTAAGTTTGCATAATTAAGGGCGTGGTCACTTGAGTGACAGCTAGGTCTTGTTGGTCGCCGTCACCTCAGCTGAATCCTGCAGATTAGCCACTGAACTCGGCATATTTATCGTATTTCTGTGTTGTTTTATGTGGCTTTACACAGTCAGCTGCCTTTTGGACTTGTTTCCTACAATTATTAGATAGCATGGCATGCTGAGTGCACTTAGTTGTGCTCACAAACCATTAACCTGGCCTCCGTTTCCCATGTGAGTAAAGTTATATACTCATATACCATCTCTATACATGTATTTGTTTTATTTAAGATCATTTATCATTTATATTTAGAGCTGTAATGCACTCCAGAATCTGTCAGATTGATTAGCTGTAGGCTCTAGATCAGTCATCTGAAGCGTTGTCATACAGTGTTATGCTGGAGTTCATCAATAGTCTTACATTAACTAACACAGACTATATCTGAAGTGTTTGGAAGTGATTTGCGTTTTCCTCCTGTTGAAAAACGTCATAAGAACAATGTTTAGTGGCTCAGTGTATTACAGCAGTGTTTAAAGTCTAAACACTTTATTGATATAGTGTACAACCAAGCACAAGTGGTCAGAATACAAACGAGACGCAGGTGATGAAGTATTAAGCGTTCTCCCAAAGTAAAGTGTGTCTGAGGCAGGTCAAAGCTAAATGCCAGCAGGTGTCTGTAGCTCCACTCTCCGCCTCTTTGCCCTTGTTTGGTATCCCGCCGTGGATGTGATGACGCGCGAACAAAATAGCGATGGTTGGCCGCGCCTACTTGTGGCTTCCTTTGCGCTCTTTAGAAACCTATGGGGGACGTCACGGATCCTACGTCCATACATTTTACAGTCTATGGTGTAAACACACAGGTATTGTGCACCATAGTAGTTTTTTTGAGGCTGGTCAGGGTGGGGTGGGGAAATACAGGTTTTTTAAAGATATGTAGGTGTAAGTGCACTCGATTGTATGTTGTATGCGAACATCAGATATGAATTTCTGCTCAGGAACTCTGTACAGATGAGGAAAATTAAAGGAAGACTCCTCCAATTTACTATAAAAGGTCTCATTTACAAGTTTAAACAGTGGACTTGAACCTTTTTTTAATCCATTCCTCCGATTTCTTGCTCTAGCTGGGTCACTTTTAGCTTAGCTTAGCATAATGAATTAAATCGGATTAGGCCATTAGCATTTCATTCAAAACAGATTTTAAAAAGTAGTTGAGTGTTTCTTTAAAGCGGAGCTTTAATGCAAAAATGACTTTTATAAAGGGTTTAAACCCAGGTGTGTGTCAGCAGTGTGTGAGTATCACCAGCCTCTAATGGTGAACATGAATTAATCCTATTGTAAACACTTTGATTAACATTCCCCCTTTGTATGACGTCATCAGAGAGGGAAAGCCCCGCCCACTAGTGCCCATCTCTCCCTCATTAGCATAAACAGCAGCCCTGAGTAAGAAGCAGCCGTCTGTCCATTAGCCATTAGAGTGTTTGAGCTGCTGAAGATAATGTCAGCACAGACTCAGAGGATTATAGATGTGGAGTTTTAGATGAAGCAGCGACAGGAGTCTCCACAGACTGACAGTCGCATGAAGCACACACTTACAACCGTTTTGAATCTGTCACTATGCTGACACACAGGCATTTCTCTTCTGAAAAGAGCACAATCTCCTTTGCATTTAAAGCGACAGTCATCAAAACACCATAATTAGTATCAGAGCCTAAAAGAGTCTGTTTCAGAGAGCTGGAGAGCATTATTAAGGACAGAATAAGCAAATAAGTAACAGATAACAGAGAGTCATGGGTGTAAATATTGAGAAGCCCCTTCAGACTAAATGAAAGCAACGTCTGTGCTCAGGCATCTTCAAGAGCACGTGCTACATCGATGTGCGCTGGTTCCCGTTTGACGTGCAGCGCTGTGATCTGAAGTTCGGCTCCTGGACGTACGGCGGCTGGGCTCTGGATCTGCAGATGATAAATGCCGATATCACCGGATACATCGCTAACGGGGAGTGGGATCTGGTTGGTGAGTTTTACAGACTCATTTTGTTTTAATATTAGTTTTGTTTTTATTTTTTAAACGTTTTTTTATTTTTTAAATTTTTATTTTGTTGTAATTTTGTAACTTTAACTTTACAGTTTTTTGTATTTTGTTTTATTTGTATTATTTTTAGGCCTTTTTGTTTATTTATTATTACATTTTATTTCTCTTTATTTCTCAAATATTTATTTTGCTCATTTAGTTTAATGATTTTGCACACATTTTTATTTTATTTCTCAGTTTTATTATTTATGTATTTTATTTGTCATTTTACAACTTTAAATTGAAATAAAATTTTATTTTTATTATTTTTAGGCCTTTTTATTTATTTATTTTTACATTTTATTTCTCAGTTGTTTTTTATAGTTAATGAATTTAAATTTGTATCATTGAATATTGAATTTTGTATTTTATTTCTCAGTTTTATTTATTATTAATTAATCTATTTTTAGTTCACTAATTTATTTCAGAAAATGTATCTTTTTGTAATTTTTTAGCTTAACTTTAACTTAAATTTAGTTTTAAAGCTTTTATTTTTGTATAATTGTTTTATTTGTATTATTTAATTATTATTTCTAAATTTAAATGTTTAGTTTATCAGTTTAAACCTAATTTTGCCCATTTATTTGACAGTTCAATATTTCTTTAACTTAAAAAAATTTAATCTCATTTAAATTTTAGTTTTTTGTTTATTTTATAAATATAATTTTTGCAATTTGCATTATTTTAAGCCTTTTTATATATTTATTTTTTACATTTAATTCTCTTTATTTCTCAACTTTATTTTGCTCATTTAGTTAAATTTTTTGTATACATTTTTTATTTTTATTATTTCATTTCTCAGTTTATTTATTTATTTAATTATTTTTAAAAATGTATTTCAGAAATTGCATTTTCAATGTATTTTTAAAAAAATAATAATTTTATAACTAACTTTAAAGAAAATGTCATTTTTTCTAATAAAAAAATGTTCGTATCTTTTTTATTTGTATTATTATTAGGCCTTTTTATTTATTTATTTTTACATTGTATTTCTCTTTATTTATTTATTTTGCTCATTTAGTTCAATGATTTTGTTTACATTTTTTTTTTACTTTATTTTACTTTTATCTCATTTGCTTAAAAGTTTTCACCCGTCCCCCCTGACATGCAAAAAAACTGACATGCAGTATTGGTTATACTGGTTATGCAGTACTGGTTTGAGTCTCGTCTGGGTCAGCTGGTGTTTCTGTGTGGAGTTTGCATGTTCTCCCCGTGTTGGCGTGGGTTTCCTCCGGGTGCTCCGGTTTCCCCCACAGTCCAAACACATGCGCTATAGGGGAACTGGATAAAGTAATTTGTGTGTATGGGTGTTTCCCAGTAATGGGTGGTGGCTGGAAGGACATCCACCATGTAAAACATATGCTTGAAAAGTTGGTGGTTCATTCTACTGTAGTGACCCCAGATAAATAAAGGAACTAAGCCAAAGGAAAATTAACAAATGACTGCATATCATGACTATTATAATTATTATATTGTATATATTTGTGTTTTTTTCACCTCTCAGTTGTAGTTATTTTAGTTCATCAATTTAAATGTAATTTGCTCCATTTATTTGTCAGTGCAATATTTGTTCCTTTGTTTATTGACTTGTTTAAATGTCACTGGTCTGTACAGTATACCACGATGCCCTGCGTGATTTGAGGCAGATGTGGAGAAATGCTGGATAAAAACAAACAAGTTTTACATAACAGTGTCTGTCATGCGTAATGTCTCACACACACACACGCACCCAATTTTCAGATGCTCTCTCGTGTGAATTCATTCGTTTGTTCATAATCAGTATTTGCCGATTAGGATCTGGCATTTCTGTCTTCCAGAAGGATCTTAGTGCCAGAAGCTTGGAGAGTCTTTAATTGTGTCATTGTTACATAATATAAATGAAGCCGAACAGAATTATCCATCAGCATGAGCGTGAAGATCAGAAATGAGCGTTCATTAAGTGGACTCAGTGGCGATAACAGATTCTGAGGGTTATTTCCTGTTTAATTGTGAGTTTCAGCATGTTTGTTCTGTCTTTAATCTTTATCTGAGGTTGTGTTTTAGATTTTAGACTGGATTTCAGATCAGCCGGTTGCTATGGTGCTATGGGGGTTGCTAAGGATTCACTATGTAGTTGCTAGGGTGCTGCTTTGTGATTATTAGGGTGTTACTATAGAGTTTACAGTGTGTGTTGAGTGGTTGCCATGGATGTTATTATGCTGTTGCTTGGGTGTTGCCATGTGGCTGTTGTGGTGTGACTTTGAGGTTTCTAGGGTGTTTCTTAACAACATTGTATAGGATTGCCGAGGTGTTGCTATGCAGTTTCTTATGTGGTTGTCAGGGTGTTGATACTGTATGTTTTTGCTAGGGTTTTCCTATGTGGTTCCAAGGTGTTGTTGTGCAGATACTAGGGTACCAGGGTGTTGCTATGCAATTTGTAAGGGCTTTTTAATGGTTGCCATGGTATTATGTAGTTACTAAGGTGTCCGTATAGATACTAGGGTGTTATGGGTGGTCACCAAGGTGTTGATATGCATTCGCTAGGTTGTTTCTTTGTTGTTTTCAAGGTGTTGCAGTGCAGTTGCTAGGGTGTTATGGGTGGTTGTCAGGGTGTTGCTATGTATTTTATTGTATGTTTCTTTGTAGTTTCCAAGGTGTTGCTGTGCAGTTGTTAGGGTGTTGTGGGTGTAACCAGGGTGTTGCTATGAAGTTTCTGTGTTCTTATTTGGTGACCATGGTGTTGTTATGAAGTTACTTGTGTTCTCATTTGGTTTCCAGGTTGTTGCTATGATGTTTCTTGTGTGTTCCTATTTGGTGACCAGTGTGTTTCTGTGCAGTCACTATGGTGTTGTGGGTGGTTACCTGGGCGTTGCTATGAAGTTTCTTGTGTGTTCCTAATTGGTGACCAGGGTGTTGCCGTGCAGTTGGCAGGTTTTTATGGGCGGTTATCAGGGTGTTGCTATGAAAAGTCTTGTGTGTTTTTTTATTTGGTTACCAGGGTGTTGCTATGCAGTTTTTATGTGTGTTCCTATTTGGTGGCCAGGGTGTTGCTGTGCAGTTGTTAGGTTGTTGTGGGTGGTAACCAGGGTGTTGCTATGAAAACATTTGTGTTTTTATTTGGTGATCAGGGTGTTGCTGTGCAGTTGCTAGGGTTTTATGGGTGGTTGCCAGGGTGTTGCTATGCAGTTTTTTTGTGTGTTCTTCTTTGGTCACCTTGGTGTTGCTGTGCGGTTTATAGGCTTTTATGGGCGGTTACCAGGGTGTGGCCATGACATTTTTTTGTGTGTTTTTATTTGGTTACCAGGGTGTTTCCATGGAGTTTTTTTGTGTGTTCCTATTTGGAGACCAGGGTGTTGCTGTGCAGATGGCATGGTGTCATGGGTGGTTTCCAGGGTGTTGCTATGAAGTTTCATATGTGTTTCTATTTGGTTACCAGGCTGTTACTATGCAGTTGTGGGTGGTAACCGGGGGTTGCTATGAAGTTTCTTGTGTGTTTAATTGTGCAGTTGCTAGGGTGCTATGGGTGGTCACTAGGGTGCTGCTATATATTTGCTTGAATGTTGCTATGCATTTGCTCGGCTGTGTTGTCCTGACCTGTGTCTGTGTGTTGCAGAGGTGCCGGGCAGGAGGAATGAGAAGTTCTACGACTGCTGTAAGGAACCGTACCCTGACGTCACCTTCACCGTGGTCATGAGGCGGAGGACGCTGTACTACGGGCTGAATCTGTTGATCCCGTGTGTGCTGATCTCCACTCTTGCTCTGCTGGTGTTCCTGCTGCCCGCCGACTCCGGAGAGAAGATATCACTGGGTGAGACGCCTGCAAAACACATTACTATTACATCAGAAAAAGTTACATTCACACATAAAATACAGCTGAAGCCTGAATTATTCGCCCTCCGTACACATTTCTAATCATAATAGTGTTAATTACTCATCTCTAATAACTGATTTATTTTCTCTTTGTCATGATGACAGTAAATAATATTAGACTAGATATTCTTCAAGACACTTCTATACAGCTTAAAGTGACATATAAGGCTTAACTAGGTTAATTAGGTGACCTAGGCAGGTTAGGGTAATTAGGCAAGTCATTGTATAATGATGGTTTGTTTTGTAGACTATTGAAAAAAAAAAAAGTCTTAAAGGGGCTAAGTCAAGCAATTGAGTGCGAATCATTACCTTCTTTAGAATAATAATTTTGGCCTTACAATGGTGTTTACAATTTAAAACTGCTTTTATTCTAGCCGAAATAAAACAAGTAAGACTTTGTCCAGAAGAACAAATATTATCAGACATACTGTGAACATTTCCTGAATCTGTTTGGGAAATATTTGATATAAAGTATTCACTGGAGGGCGAATAATGTTCGACTGTACATTTAACTTCAGTTCGTGCTTAAGTTTTTTAATGTTTGTTGTTAAACCTGCTCTGTGCACTTCATCTTTATTGAAAAGCAGTGATAAAAGTAAAAGATCCCCCTGCAGAACACAGAATATCTCTGATGGTAATGGGATTAACGGAGAGTTTCTCCTGAGTAATCTCTAATCTCACTGGTGTCGCTCGCTGATAAATGAGTTTCAACACCGCAAACAAGAGCAGCTGATTTTGCAATATGTGAGTGTCTAAAGCGCAGTGTGTGTCTTTAATTTCATGCTGTCTTAGTTCTGTGTGTGTGTGTGTGTGTGTGTGTGTGTGTGTGTGTGTGTGTGTGTGTGTGTGTGTGTGGGCGGCATCGCTTGACTTTCGGTGTATCACATTATTGCATTTTAAATCCACCGGCTCCATTCAGAATTGCCACAGTCTATACTATACTGCAGTTCAACAAATAATTAGATGTATTAATAATTCTCAACCTTAAATAATATACAACATTTTCATATTAACATTGATTTAATTTGATTTTTGTTGCTTATTACAATAATATTAATACATATTTTAAAGAGTTAAATGCAACAATGAAATAAAATGCTTACGATATTTGTATATTTAGTGTTATTATATTGTCAATCTAAATAGTAGTAACGCATTAAATATTAAATATACAGTATTATATTTCTATATTTAATCATTATTATTAAATGTATTTTTTTTAAATATATATAGAATCAAATTATTTAGAATTGATTTGATATATTTCTATATTTAAATGTAAAATATACTATATTATTTTATTAATAAAACATACTATATTATTATTATTTAGTCGTAAACTAATTCTAATATAAATAAAAAGGACTAAATAAGATAATATAGTGTCATAATAATATAGTTTTTATAAATTATAATTATATATTAATAAATTATTAATACATAATAATATAGTACTCAATATGAATATATTTATTATATTTATATAATAAAATATGTATAATATATGTGCTATATGTAGTATTATCTATATAATATATAATTGCAAGTAAACATTTGTACATAAACATGTGTTTAAATAACATACTTGTAGGCTGTTTAGTATTTTGAAGTAATTTAGTTCATGTGCATCTGTACACAGATTTAAGATGCATTAATGCAGGGGTGTCCAAGCTCGGTCCTGGAGGGCCGTTGTCCTGCATATTTTAGTTCCGACCCCAATTAAACTCACTTAAACCAGCTAATCAAGCTCTTCTAGGTATACTAAAAACTTCCTGGCAGGGGTGTTGAAGAAAGTCAGAACTAAACCATGCAGGACAGCAGCCCTCCAGGAGTTTGGACACTTCTGCATTAATGAATGAAGACCATTCAGATTTGAATAATTGTTTGTTTGTTTTTTCTGCCAGGAATCACAGTCCTGCTGTCACTCACCGTCTTCATGCTGCTGGTGGCTGAGATCATGCCTGCCACCTCCGACTCGGTGCCTCTGATTGGTGAGTCCACCTGTCAATCACGGTTCAGAGGGTGGTGCTTCGGCTTTATGTTGATCTGTGGGTTTAAAAGGATGAGAGACCCTGAAACTCAGACACAGCGAACTGCATTCATCACATTAACGTCCTATTCCTGCTTATGAATCCTCCATGAATGGGCCAGCTGGAGACCAGAGCCATCATTCATGCTGAAATGGGGCGTCTTTACAGGTGAAAAGCCCCCCGCTGATATCTGTCTGTTCCCCAAAGCTCCATTACTGAGAAAAACCATCAAACAATGACAGACACCAGAGAGGATTTTCACAGGATTATGAGTTCATAACCTCATTTTTGAAGATTCGGCTTGACTTTCAGCAAAGGAGAGACGTTTAGCAGAATGTTCAGGCTGCTGGATGTTTGCATTATTTGTTTATTATATACAGTTGAAGTCAGAACTATTAGCCCCCCTGAATTATTAGCACCCCTGTTTATTTTTATTCCCAATTTCTGTTTAATGGAGGGAAGATTGTTTCAGCACATTTCTAAACATAATAGTTGTCATAACTCATCTCTAATAACTGATTTATTTTCTCTTTGGCATGATGACAGTAAATAATATTAGACTAGATATTCTTCAAGACACTTCTATACAGCTTAAAGTGACATTTAAGGCTTAACTTGGGTAATTAGGGTAAATAGGCAGATTAGGGTAATTAGGCAAGTTATTCTATAATAATGATTTGTTCTGTAGACTATCGAAAAAAAATAGCTTAAAGGGGCTAATAATTTTGTCCCAAAAATGGTGTTTAAAAAATTAAAAACTGCTTTCATTCTAGCCGAAATAAAACAAATAAGACTTTTTCTAGAAGAAAAAATATTATCAGACATACTGTGAAAATTTCCTTGCTCTGTCAAACATCATTTGGGAAATATTTAAAAGAGAAAAAAAAATCAAAAGGGGGCGAATAATTCTGACTTCAACTGTATATAGGTAATCCGTTAATTATAATTATAAGTAAATTGTATTTAATATTTGTATAGTTAGTAATTGTAAAATAATTTAATAATTATTAATACATCAAATATTTTTTCTGAACTGCATATTTTTAATTTTAAGTAACAATTGTAGTAATATTTTAATACATTTGTTGCTTAGAATTATGATAGATTATAATTAAGAATAATTATTTAGAATTATTCATTTCTATCTTTACTTTTTGTGCATTGTATTTATAAAAGTGTTTATTATTAATAATAATAATAACTATTATTATTATTAAACGAGTCTTGCATTGAATTAAACATTTAATTGTAAAGTAGATCAACTTTAAGTGTGCATTTCACACACACTTTTTCACTTTTCTGTAGATAAAATCTTTTAAATAATTAAAAATTATTTAACAGATGATGTGAAATATTTAAGTGAAAATATTTAAAGGTTCTTGTCTCGGATTTAGGGTGTGTTTGTGTTTGTGTGTGTGTGTGTGTGTGTGTGTGTGTGTGTGTATGTGTGTGTGTGTGTGTGTGTGTGTGTTAACTGAAGCCTTCTTTTTTATAATGGTCACATTTTCCTTTCAGACACACATGACTGAAGATCTCAAGAATGCCACACACACACACACACACATATACATGCACACAGTTTGGTTTTTGTGGTTTATGAGGACATTCTATAGGCATACTCTAATTCATTCATTTTCTTGTCGGCTTAGTCCCTTTATTAATCCGGAGTCGCCACCGTGAAATGAACCGCCAACTTATCCAGGACGTTTTTTACACAGCGGATGGCCCTCCAACTGCAACCCATCACTGGGAAACATCCACACACACAATCATTCACACTCATACACTATGGCCAATTTAGCCTACCCAATTCACATGTCTGTGTGTATGTGTGTATCTGTGACTCTCTGCGTGTCTAACTCTGTCTCTGTGTGTGTGTGTGTGTGTGTGTGTGTGTGTGTGTGTGTGTGTGTGTGTGTGTGTGTGTGTGTTTCAGCTCAGTATTTTGCCACCACGATGGTGATTGTGGGCCTGTCAGTGATCGCTACAGTGCTGGTGCTGCAGTATCACTATCATGATCCAGACGGAGCGAAGATGCCCAAATGGGTAAGATAATGGATCAAGACAAATAAACACTCCTATATATGCATGCCCCTATAAAGTTGATATTTCTTTACATATATCATATTCACTCACAGGCCACTTTATTAGGTACACCTGTCCAACTGCTCGTTAATGCAAATTACTAATCAGCCAATCACATGGCAGCAGCTCGATGCATTTAGGCGTGTAGACATGATCAAGACGATCTGCTGCAGTTCAGAGCGAGCAATGGGGAAGAAAGGGGATTTAAGTGACTTTGAACGTGGCATGGTTGTTGCTGCCAGACGGGCTGCTCTGAGTATTTCAGAAACTCCTGATCTACTGGGATTTTCACGCACAACCATCTCTAGGGTTTACAGAGAATGCTCCGACAAAGAGGAAATATCCAGTGAGCGGCAGTTCTGTGGGCGCAAATGCCTTGTTGATGATGCCAGAGGAGAATGGCCAGACTGGTTCCAGCTGATAGAAAGGCAACAGTAACTCAAATAAGCACTCGCTACAACCGAGCTCTGCAGAAGAGCATCTCTGAACACACAACACGTCCAACCTTGAGGCGGATGGGCTACAGCAGCAGAAGAGCACACCGGGTGCCGCTCCTGTCAGCTAAGAACAGGAAACTGAGGCTACAATTCACACAGACTCACCAAAACTGGACAATAGAAGATTGGAGAAACGTTGCTGCTCTGATGAGTCTCCATTTCTGCTGACACATTCGGATGCTCGGCTCACAATTTGGCCTCAACATCATGAAAGCATGGATCATCCTTATTAATATATACTTGTTATTGTGCATTAATTTCCTATTACTTTTTATGGTTTACTGCATTACTCTGTAGTGTTATTAGTATTATAACCGGAGTAAACAGCTCAGTTTTCTCAGCGTCTGCATTCGGTGTTGAAGGTCAGAGAGTGTTTTCAGTTCTCCTTCAGCGACGGCGTGCTGTGAATCTGAATCACTGCCGGACACCAGCACAGATTTATACTAAATGCATGAGACGCGACACTCGGAAACACACTTTCCCCAAATCTGTCTTCTGGGCACACTCTTTACATCGCACACATCAAATACTCATGTCCATTTTTTGCTTTAAGACGCATGTGTCAGGCCTGCCGTGTCGTCAATTACAATATTCAAGCACCAATTAGAAGGACGCAGCAATCACAAGATTCATGAAGATTTATGAAGAATTAAGATGCTAATATTAAAGGCAGCACAGCGGCGCAGTGGTTAGCACTGTGGCCTCACAGCAAGAAGGTCGCTGGTTCAAGTCCCGGTTGGCTCAGTTATCATTTCTGTGTGGAGTTTGCATGTTCTCCCCATGTTGTTGTGGGTTTCCTCCGGGTGCTCCGGTTTCCCCCACAGTCCAAACACATGCGCTATAGGGGAACTGATCAACTAAATTGGCTGCAGAGTGTGTGTGTGTGTGTGTGTGTGTGTGTGTGTGTGTGTGTGTGTGTGTGTGTGTGTGTGTGTATGGGTGTTTCCCAGTAGTGTGTTACAGCTGGAAGGGCATCCGCTCTGTAAAACATATGCTGGTTAAGTTGGTGGTTCATTCCGCAGTGGTGATCCTGATGAATAAAGAGACTAAGCTGAAGGAAAATGAATGAATGAATGAATAAATAAATAATTAATGCGAGTTCCTATAGAAGGAAAACCCCAATTTAAAGTGATAATAATGTATTAGTTTAAAACAGGATGCAAATCAAGAAAATCTAAGAAATAATTTAGTAGTTACAGCAGACCACTGAGCCATGTTGTCGCCCATATTTATATATTATTTGGTAGAACTTTTGATATGGTGTACAGTACAGCTTTTGTAGCAAAAGTTGTGAGTTACATTAAATACACAATATTATAAATGGGGGAAAAGTCCAATTGAAACAGAGAGTTGCTCCATGCAAGAAGTTAATACATTTTTGTAGCAAAAAAATACAAAGACATGCATGAATATATGACGGCATGCTGTTTGCAATAGTAAATAAATACAGTTCCAGGCATAAATGAGTTCATGCCCTCACAGATCCCTCCTGTAATATTTCCTACAGGATGCTTTATACTAATATATTTGTGCACGTACATTAAATTAGTCAGTAACAAAGACAAAACTGGAGCTGATCTAACAAAACAGCTTAAGATGATGATGCAAAAATAAGTACAACCCAATGCATATAGTGAAACATATTAAATAAAATGTTATTAAATTGGAATAACTTAATAAATCAAGACAACCTTAAAAGCCATTACATTTAGTTGAAATTGTCTAGTTGATTATTTTTTTCCCCAAAATCTCATTTGAATTTAAATGTATTCATTCATTCATGTTCCTTCAGCTTAGTCCCTTATTTATCAGGGGTCGCCACAGTGGAATGAACCGCCAATTACTCTGCCATATGTTTTACATAGCGGATGCCCTTCTAACTGCAACCCAGTACTGGGAAACACATTTAAATGTATTATTTCCCTATTCATAAGGATGTTAGGAGACCAAACTCTTATTTTAATAAATATATCACTGATTAATAAAACTGTTTTGTTTACATGTAGTCTATATTCATTGAGAATTGATGAAAATATGAATGTACTCATTTATGCTGTGCACTGTGAGTAAAGCAGCGAACTCCTCCGGAAAACCCCAACAGCATGATGATGAGTCACCTTAATTGATTCAGTCATATTGACTCAGCGAATCTCTGAGTTATGCAAATAATACTGCTGAGCTAATCAAGCATGGATGAATGAGACTCTTGCTTGTGTGTGTGTGTGTGTGTGTGTGTGTGTGTGTGTGTGTGTGTGTGTGTGTGTGTGTGTGTGTCTGTTTTTTTAATCTAGACACGTGTTCTGCTCCTGAACTGGTGTGCGTGGTTTCTCCGTATGCGGCGTCCCGGCGAGGACCGAATTCGTCTGGCCTGCCATAATAAACCAGCCCGTCGCAGCAGTGTGTCCAGCGTGGAGCTGTCGGTCAGCCAGGGGGCGCTGCAGGCCGCCGGCGGGAACATGCTTTATTTTGGCTTCAGAGGGATGGAAGGCGTCCACTACACGGCACACGAATCGCACAGCGTCCTCTGCAGCCGACTGATGGCCAACAGTGAAGATGACGTGCTGTTGCCGGGAGCTCAGATCAGGGGCGGGGTCACAAGTGGGATTGTGGGCGGGACATTGGAACTAGAACTAGCCAAAATTTTGGAGGAGGTGAGATATATCGCTAAACGATTCCGCGACCAGGATGCGGATGAAAGTGTGTGTAACGAGTGGAAGTTTGCGGCGGCGGTAATCGATCGATTGTGTTTAATGGCATTCTCCATTTTTACTATCCTCTGCACTATCGGGATCCTTATGTCGGCACCAAATTTTGTAGAAGCCATTTCGAAAGATTTTTTCACCTGATTATTTTATTTTATTTTAGTTATTTATTTATTGTATACCGGGATTGGGCTTTCATGTATGATGCTAACTAGGACTGAGCGAAATGCCGAATTTAATTTTGCTGACGAAAATTTGTATTAAAAAGTTTTATGCACTTTTTATTCACTTTATTTTCCTCAATTTAGTATTTATATAAACTGGAACTAGCCAAAATTATGGAGGAAGTATCGCTAAACGATTTCGCTACCAGGATGCAGACGAAAATGTGTGTAACGAATAGAAGTTTGTGACTGCGGTAATCGATCAATTGTGTTTGATTGCGTTCTCCAGTTTTACCATCCTCTGGACTAATGGGATCTTGATGTTGGCGCCAAATTTTTTAGAAGCCATTTTTTCATCTGATTATTTATTTTTTATTTTTTATTTTTTTTTTTTACTGGGATTGGACTTTCATATATGATGCTAACTAGGGCTAAGCGAAATGCTGAATTAGATTTTGCTGATGAAAATTCGTATTACGATGTAATGCACTTTTTATTCACTTCATCTTCCTCATAGTTTTTAGATTTATTTCCATGAATGAGTTTATGTTGATAAATCAATTGAATGTTGATTCATTGATTCGTTTGTGTCACTTCAAAATTTTTACAGAAGTCTTTATGTTTTAGTAAAAAAATGCACATTTAATTTGTTTATTAGAAGTAGAACTAGCCAAAATTATGGAGGAAGTGAGATATATCGCTAAACGATTTTACAACCAGGATGTGGATGAAAGTGTGTGTAACGAATGGAAGTTTGCGGCGATAATCGGCCATTTGTGTTTATTGGCATTTTCCATTTTTACCATCCTCTGCACTATTGAGATACTGATGTTGGTGCCAATTTTTTTAGAAATTTTATTATATTTTATTTTATTTATTGTATACTGCTATTGGACTTCATATATGATACTAACTAGGGCTGAGCGAAATGCCGAATTTGATCTTACTGACGAAAATGAGTATTACAAAGATTGTATGCACTTTTTATTCACAGGTATCTTCCTTATTGTACTATTTCAATTTATTTCCATGAATGAGTTTTTGTAAATGAGACAAACTTACGGAAGATATGCAGTAAATTGCCGTAACAATTTCACAACCAAAAAAAAAAAAAAAACTTGAAAATTTGTGCAGCAAATACTGGTCAATTGTCTAATGCAGTTCTACATTTTTAAATCTTGATATCGTCACCAAATTTCCAAATTCTTAAAATTAGTTTTTTTCTGTTTTCATATCATGCCAAACGATTTTACCAAAAATACCTCGTTATTTAACGTTTTTGCACACTCAACAACCAATATTATTTGGATAGAACCGTAATAGAAATGCTAGTTTGACATGCTAAATAGTGATGAGTGATCTATCAAATTTTATTTTGCTGGTGAAAATTAAGTATTATTGTAACGTTTTTGCACGTTTTGTTTGTCCTCATTTTCCTCGTCCTCAGTTTAATGCCATTATTATGTTTTTGTTTTGTGTCACTCCAAAATGTGGCTGAACGATTTAAATAATGTAGCCATTTTACATACATTATGACTAAGTAGGTGCGCAACTATGATGCTAACTACACATATAATATATATATCGAATAGCAATATCTCAAGTTTGTAATAAAATAAGCAACAAGTATCGCAATGATTTTATGCAGTTTAATTTTATTTACTACTGCGTGAGATTATTTATTAGCATAATTGATATAAACAAGTGGCATTACTGCTAATAACACTAGTAGTTTAGTAATTTATGTAAACGAGTTTGTCGTAAAATGAATTAAATGTTAATTAATTGATTTCTTGCATTTCAAAATGTTTATATGTATTCAAATGTTGAAGTAAAATATTGTGTAGGAAAATGTAGTATGTTTTTTTGTATTGTAATTTATATATATATATATATATATATATATATATATATATATATATATATATATATATCCTATATTGCTCAGCCATAATAGTAATATGATAACCTTTATTACTCATTTATCATGTGTAAAATAACCTGCCATGAACACAAATCATAAGGCAAACCAGCCTGATCTCATGAGAAAAGTAAGTATTTTACATTTTGCCAGTTTAGTGGCGAATTCGTACGAGTTCAGTCGTATGAAATTGTACGATTTTAAAAAGGAGGCGTGTCACCTAACCCCACCCCTAAACCCAACTGTCATTGGGGGATTAGCAAACCGTACTAAATTTTACAAATTAGATCGTACGAATTAGCTACTAAATCAAAAAGTTACGAATTGCTGTGAGATTGTGTTGGGCAAACATGCTGGTTTGAGCTCATGTCTTTAAATTCATAGATATTTGCACAGATAATATCTTATAAACAGCAATACATATTTCCATCGTGTCCTCTGTAGGTTTTTAATGACTGTTTTCATGTGGGTGTTGAAGTGTTTGATGTGTTTTAGTGTAAAGTCCAGTGGAACTGCTGCTTTTGAGCTCTTTTCTAAATTAATACAGCACTTTTCATTACAAATTGAATTAAAATTCAAATGAAACCTGTTTTGGACCCTGCAGCATCATGTTTACTTGTTATTCAGGCTTGATAGGCTCACAAATGTGCTGTTTTAAATGGAAACTTCATCATTTCAGTCTTGGTAGCAAACAGCAGATGAACACACTCGTATTATTACATTATTAAGCATAGAATTTAGGTTTTTAAGAAGTCTATCTTTTCCAGTTTTATGGCCGTTTCCCAGCATCACATCATCTTTCAGGTCTCCTGTGCCGGTCTGTGAACCTTGTATAAATAAATGTATTTTCCTATTAAAAGATTCTGTTTTATGTGCTTCAGAGAGCTGTGGTGGAGAGATTTCAGAAGCTTTGAGTTGCAGCGTTTCATACCAAGTCAATTGCACAACAATACTGCATGCAACAATCATTTATTTTCACATAAAAGCACACCTTAGTGTCAAAACATATTTTGTCAAATCTTCTGAAGTCTTTTGATCATCTTTGACTGAGGAATAGACTGAATTCAGGTTAATTCGCGAGCAGAATATTAATGCAAGCACGAATTATGAGAATTTTTATTTCAAGTAAAAAATTCAGCATTTTTTTTCATTTTACTGTTAAAGTATAAGTTCTTTTTAAATAAATGTAAGCTTGTATTTAATAATTGAATTATCACATAATAGGCCACATTGTCTTCTGTTTTGAATCAAAAACGCAATTCATTCAGCATATTATCAATTACAAATAACGAAATGTGACTTAAAATCCAATAATTTGCATCACATAACAGCTTATTACTGTGGATGGGTTTCATAAATATCATAAAACAGCTGAGATATAACATTTTTTACTTTATGCCTTTTGATCGTTAAAAACAGACCGAATGTTTCGAATTTTGCACCGAATTTTTACGTTTACTTATCTACGTTTATTTTAGAATTTCCACGCTAGCCTGCTCTAATGACGGCGCCTGCGTTTAAGCGGTTGTTCATCTTTGTTTTAACAACCAAATGGACGCTTAAGTCTATTTAAATGATTGTATTTGAATTACATTACAACATCTATGCTGTAAAAGTAACCTTATGCAATTTAAAATAGTCATATAAAGCTTTCACCTGAAGTTCGTTGGCTGAAAAACACTGTGTATAGTTCACGCATCATATAATGGCCTATTACTATTGATAGCTTTCATAAATATAATAAAACAGCTCTTACCTTACGCCTGTTGACCGTTACAAACGAAGCCGAATTTTTCAATTTCGCGCCGAATTTTAACGCTCGTGATCTCCGAATAGCCTCGCCCACTTTGTTTTGATTGGCCAGGTCAGTCACGTTATACGCTTGACGAGCTTATGCATCAATATCAGCACATTTTGAGGGAAATTTGGCAGTGCTAATGCAACGAAACTCTGATAAACTTTGAGGAAATCTTCCAGATGGACCTGCAGACGTCTGTTTTGCTGAATGATCCCTCACAGCAGTTTAACCGGCAAGTGTTCACTTACATATATAACTGCAGTACAACAGCAGTAAGTATACCTGCAGTAAAATTAAAAACAATTGCTAAATTGCAATACAGTCAAGTATAAACACAGTTAATCAACTACAATACAATAAAGTTCAACAGCAATACAATCTGCAGTACAACTGAAGTAACATTAAATCAGTAAGAGGGGAAATATATATATAGTGATAAGTTCTGTATTGTATTGCACTTAGGTGCATAATTATAGTACACTAAGTTGTATTATGTATTGTAGATGTATTTATGTAGTTAGTTATACTTCTGAAAAGTCATATAGAATACATGCAATACAACTGAAGTACTGAAACCTCGTTTGGAAACTATTGTCCACTGAGCAGGAAAAGTAGTAGTTGTACTTCAGTTGCATTGCAATAGCAGTACTGCATTATAATAGTTGTAGTACTTCAGTACTAGCATTCATTGCAGTAGTTGTACTTCATTATAGTAGTAGTATCACATCAGTTCTATTGCAGTCGTTGTACTGTACACTGAAAAAAAATTATTCAAAAATGGTTCCTTGGATTTACTCAATTTTTTATGTTAAGTGGTTGTAAACAATTTATTTGGGCTGAATATAAACAAACAAATTAGGTTGATCATTATTAAACCTAATTTGTTTGTTACATTCAACACAAATAAATTGTTTGCAACAGTTCTGCATGCAACACTTTTTTTCAGTGTAGTAGTACTTCAGTTGCATTGCAGTAATACTCCAATATACTTAAATAATGCCGTTTTTTCGTGTCCAAAAAACTGCACTTTTCAGAATTTAACTAAATCTGCAGTATTCCTTTAAAAAATGGCAGTAAAAAAAACTGCAGTAGGCCTACTTTTTGTAAGGGTTTTGTTTATTAACACACTCGATTAGCGTTCTCCAAAATAAAAGGCAATTCTGACTTTACATCTCACGTTTTAGACATTTATTCTCAAGTTGCGAACTTAAAATTGCGTATAAGGTCATAATTCATTTACACGCATGTATTTCCTTCACAATTCCCAGTTTGTGAATTGTACTCTTCTACCTAGAATTTAAGATGTGAAAAGTGACGGAAAAGACATTTTTATAATTATACAAGCGAATTCTGTTTTCAATGAGTTTTGATGTGGAACATTGTAGTCATCCTAGAATCCAGAAAATTAAAATCTATAAAAAGTCCACCCCTAAAAATAAATAATATACAAAATAAATATTGAGTTGGAGGTTGGACTTTATTTTTGCGCTTCTCCTCTCACCTTAACCTCAGCCATAGATATATCAGCCGTAAATTCGTACGAATTTGTATGAGTTCAGTCGTACGAAATTGTACGATTTTAAAAAGGAGGCGCGGCATCTAACCCCACCCCTAAACCCAACCGTCATTGGGGGATGAGCAAATCTTACTAAAATGTATGAATTAGATTGTACGAATTTATATAAATTAGCCACTAAATCAAAAAGTTACGAATTGCTGTGAGATTGTGTTGGATATATACACTATATCGCATACAGATGCTGAGCATGCATCAATAGCGCTGCCATATTTGTACAGTGCTTCCAGGACAAGTCATTCAGTCGCACTAAAGAAAATCTAAAGATGCTGTATTTTTGCGCTGTGTACGGGTGTAGTAACGAGCAAACAAAGAAAACAAAGCACAGAGGCAGGACATCT